ACTCATATATTTCAGATGTTTATTTTGTTTAATTTTGATGATTACAAATGACAACAAATGAAAATCTCAAATTCATCATATCAGAAAATTAGAATATTGTGAAAAGGTTCAAAATTGATGGCCCCTGGTGCCACACTCTAATCAGCTAATTAACTCAAACCACCTGCAAAAGCCTTTAAATGGTCTTTCAGTCTAGTTCTATAGGCTACACAATCATGGGGAAGACTGCTGACTTGACAGTTGTCCAAAAGACGACCATCGACACCTTGCACAAGGAGGGCAAGACACAAAAGGTCATCGCTAAAGAGGCTGGCTGTTCACAGAGCTCAGTGTCCAAGCACATTAATAGAGAGGCGAAGGGAAGGAAAAGATGTGGTCGAAAAAAGTGTACAAGCAAGAGAGATAACCGCACCCTGGAGAGGATTGTGAAACAAAACCCATTCAAAAATGTGGGGGAGATTCACAAAGAGTGGACTGCAGCTGGAGTGAGTGCTTCAAGAACCACCACACACAGACGTATGAAAGACATGGGTTTCTGCTGTCGCATTCCTTGTGTCAAGCCACTCTTGAACCACAGACAGCGTCAGAAGCGTCTTGCCTGGGCTAAAGAGAAACAGGACTGGACTGCTGGTGAGTGGTCCAAAGTCATGTTCTCTGATGAAAGTAAATTTTGCATTTCCTTTGGAAATCAAGGTCCCAGAGTCTGGAGCAAAAGAAGAGAGGCACTTCATCCACGTTGCTTGAAGTCCAGTGTAAAGTTTCCACAGTCAGTGATGGTTTGGGGTGCCATGTCATCTGCTGGTGTTGGTCCATTGTGTTTTCTGAGGTCCAGGGTCAACGCAGCCACATACCAGGAAGTTTTAGAGCACTTCATGCTTCCTGCAGCTGACCAACTTTTTGGAGATGCAGATTTCATTTTCCAACAGGACTTGGCACCTGCACACAGTGCCAAAGCTACCAGTACCTGGTTGAAGGACCATGGTATCCCTGTTCTTAATTGGCCAGCAAACTCTCCTGACCTTAACCCCATAGAAAATCTATGGGGTATTGTGAAGAAGAAGATGCAATACACCAGACCCAACAATTCAGAAGAGCTAAAAGCCACTATTAGAGCAACCTGGGCTATCATAACACCTGAGCAGTGCCACAGACTGATCGACTCCATGCCACGCCGCATTGCTGCAGTAATACAGGCCAAAGGAGGCCCAACTAAATACTGAGTGCTGTACATGCTCATACTTTTCATGTTCATACTTTTCAGTTGGCCAACATTTCTATAAATCCTTTGTTTTTATTGGTCTTCAGTAATATTCTAATTTTCTGATATGATGAATTTGAGATTTTCATTTGTTGTCATTTGTAATCATCAAAATTAAACAAAATAAACATCTGAAATATATGAGTTTGTATGTAATGTATGAATATAATATACAAGTTTCACTTTTTAAATGGAATTACTGAAATCAATCTACTTTTTCATGATATTCTAATTTTATGACCAGCACCTGTATATACAGTCACTTCTTGTTTTGGCGTCTTAAACCACAGACTAGAAGTAGCTCTATCTCTAAATTTAATTATTTTCATCATTTGTAACTTCCTTGTATGCCTCCTTTTCCGTGGGTAATTCTAAATAAAAATAACAAAAAGTTTTTAACAGGAGTGTACTGTTAGGCAACTTTAGGAGTAGGTGTGAGGTTTAGACTTGTTATATCCAAAAATGGATGTTTAAATAGAAAACTCTTAAGAAAGATGGTGACCAGTTAGCAGGGTTTAATTTTATTCGGAGAAAGGTCCCACAACTTTTCTCTAACAAGGTTAACAGAAAAGTGTAGGGAGGGTTAAATATGTTTATTCCAGTAAGCAAACCATAAGAACTATGTTGTGGCAAATAGGTATTAAATGTATGAGTGATGCAGAACACATAAACTGACAGTTGTGGGGCAAACTGATTTAAAACATTTATAAATTACTGCATGTTCTTCATTGACAGTGTCTAACATCTCTTGCGGCACTTCTCTTGTTAACATGGTAAAGCCTTCGCCTCTGGCTTCAGGCTACACATGATACAAATTAGCTAATGAGCTGCTGTCAGTCTGGGTTGCTGCTGCTGCTACTTTTAGACACAGCAGGCAAACCTGTGACAAGCTGGACGATGGGAAAGAAGGAGAAGATGGTGAGAAAAAGAAAGCAGAGAAAGTGTGGACTGCTGGGTGAACTGGTGACAGAAAAGTGAAATGGCTTGCTCAAAGGTGACCCTGCACATTTTGAGTATGTTTGGCTCAACCTGCTGCTGTGAAGCAGGATTCTCCACCATGAATATAATAAAAAATAGATATCGACTCAGGCTCATAAAGGAGCACCTTGATAAGTGCATGAGAATGGCTTTGTCTCCATTCGAACCCAGGTTTAAAGCTTGCAGGTCAGCCTTAAGCCTACTGCTCTCATTAAGCCATTAAAAAGAAAAAAAGGTCAGTTCAGGTGTTATATAAAATATGTGAATCAGGAAATTGTCTATATTCCAATCTGAACGAATATTGTTCTCTACTTCAAAATACACTTTTCAAATTGGAACAATGTTCTATTTCTTTTTTATATTTTTTTATTAAAAATTCAACATATAAAATGGATGCATAAAAAACTCATTATATTCCAGTGGTAAATTCTGTTTAAAGTAACAGATTATAGGGCTGATCAGCACTGCTGCCTTGCAGCAAGAAGGTTCCGGGTTTGATCTTTCTGCAAGGAATTTGCATGTTCTCCCTGAGCATGAGTGGGTTCTCTCCGGGTACTCCCACAGTCCAAAAACATCACTGTTAGGTTAATTGGTGTCTCTAAATTCCTCTGAATTATGTAGTTTGCAGATGACATTGAGTTTTTTAAGGAGAGGAGAAAGAAAACTAAAGACAGCTTGGAGAGAGAAGCTGAATGGAAAATTGGTGGTGAAAGGGGATGAATTTAATTACCACCAGTCAACAATCATAGTATGAAAAGAAGATTGACATGAAGGCTACAGTGAATAGAGTTTGATGGAAGATGAGCTATAAGGTGTTGGGAACTGATGTGCTGTATAACTGGGAAACTCCGCTCTAACAAACAGACAAGAGGGGGAGCTAAAGATGTAAAAATATTCATTGCTAACTTGAACTTATCAGAACGACTGACCCGGAGGAGGTGTTTAGAAAAACCAAGATGGTTCAGACATGTGGAGAGAAGATTTACTGGAAGAATTGACAAATGAACTGTGATATGGAGGATTTAGAGAAGATAACAAAAAGGTAGTTTTTTTTTTTTTTTTGTAATCATCTGCACTGTATATGCCTTCACATCAAATAAGCTTGTTGCTGAGTTTCATTTTTTTTTTCTAATCAGATTTAACATCAATTCAACTGTCTATTTATTTTTTACAATGGAAAGAGATCATTCAATTAAAAATAACCTGACTGTAAAAGTCTTGTAATTAGCAGCAGAGGGGGGTGTGCATGACTATGAATGGCCAAAGCGGCCAAAAACTAGATAAGACATGGGAGACAGATCAATGGAAATGGGGCAAATAAGTTTCAAACAATGACAAATGAAACATGCAACATTGAATTAAATATATAAAGTGAGACTGAATGAATGTATGATGTTCTTTCTTTGGTATTTCATGGTGGATCCACTCTGTTGCATTAACGACCACTTGAGACCAAACTTTCTGCCTACATGTAGAACTACTGTATAATAAATACCAGAGTCTTTATATAACTCTTGATTAGTATAAATTCTTAAGCGATATGACAAAATAAATATGTTTAGTGCAAATTTTAAATGTAGGATAACTATTACAACAGTGGTGCAGGGTGTTGCCATATTAATCGCTAGATTAGGAAAAGGACACGTAAAACTGATCAGAAAGACAGATTCAGTAGAAAATATCCTTTGTGAAACAATAAAAAATTCCTGCTTTGGTGATATATTTTTAAGTGTAATCAAAGAGTTGCATGAAGACATCATAACTGTTATTTTTACTAGTATTTATTCATCTTTAGATTTATTTTGAGCCTCAATACTGAGGTGCAAAATAATATCCAATAGTCAAGAACAATTTTTTCAGTCGAAAAATAGATTTGATATAGGAATTAGATATAAAAACTCCAAACAATCATGTGCACTTTCAATGGGTTGAGTGCATACTTTACTCTTATTCACTATCTGCTGTAAAACAAACAAAAAAAAAAAACATGGTCATCATGCTCTAACCAAAATCCTTAATATTGCCTTTTTGTTCAAATTTATCCATCTATGGTCTCTCAGTTTTATTAAAATAAAACAAAAAAATGTATCAGCTATACTGGCTTCCTTCAAATCTGATGTCACCAAGCGGGATTCATGTGATGGTGCTCTCATACTTTGTGGTTCAGCTTTGAGTCAGTGCTTTATTAGAGTGGGTGTTATTTTTGTGTGTGTACTTTATGTTCTTAGTCCTAAGATTTTTATTGTTTTAGTTGACTGATGAGAATTTGCTTTATGGATGTTGTTGGAAGAGATTTTTTTTTTACTATCAGTGTTTTATTGATGTTTACTCGTAACCTAAATCCATTAATTCTCTACAGATAAAGGAGAACAGTTTACACAGATATTGAGATAATCTGTTGTGCTTAAGAGAAGCGGTGCAATAGCTGCATTTAGCACTTCTGTTGCCCACATGTTAATGTTTAATCTGTTTAATTCTGCCCACAGATATTACCCATGTAATTTTGTTGTAATATGACTTAATAAACTACAGAGCATGCGGTGCCTGTCTGCTTGTGACATCATTTAGTGCCTCTGTGACCAGATTACGTTTGTTCTTATCAAAAGCTAAAGGAAGCAGTTTGGTTACTGCAGTTTCATGCTAATTTCCTCTTCTGAGTAAAGATGCTTTGCTTCTGCAAACCTTTAGCCCAACCCTCCCACTGTATTTCTCTGAGGCTCACCAGCACTTTAATCAGATAGCAAGATAAATTTTTTCAGACATTGTAGATGCAGCACTAACATCTTCTCAAAAGCTGAGTTTGTTTTCACAGAATGTTCTGATTTTATATTCTCATTTTGTCAAATCGTTGGAAATTCTGTCTGTTTTTAAGCGGACTGTTTAGGATCCTGTTTACTGAGTGAGTATTGCCACTGAATAATCCAATTATTTTACTACTGCTACTATAGGATATCATCTTGGTTTAAACTCATTCTTTAACTTTAAAGCAGTATTCTCTTTCCTCCAAGCATTTTTCTAAATTTTTCATTTTTACGTCCTGTTTATCTTTCTATTTCACGTGTCATTTTCCTTTATTATCTACAGATGTTCTTATCTCATTCAGTGCACACTAATTTTATTGTCTTCTAATGTAAACTTGTTTGTCTAATACCATGGACTTCTTTTTCTGTTTATCATGTCCTGTCATTACAGTTTATGTTTCATCGTAGTATAACATAAAGTCCGTGTTGTCATTTTGTTTGACTCATGTAGTCCTTAGATCTTACTAAACAACAGTAAAAGGCTGTGTACACTTTTTAAATGTCATATATGTATTGTTCCAAAATGTGTAAAAAGTTGACCAACCTTTTATGATTGCACTGTGACACAAGAAGTAAATTTGGGTTTCTAAATCCATGTTAAGTGACCCGTATTTACTGTTTTAAAGCCTTTGTTCCACAATGGATATTCAGCTATGTAAAATCAGTTTTAGTATAAATACTGTAAATAGCTTTTGTGCTTGTGGACAGGGATGTTTCTGGTAACACTCCCAAAGCTGAGATCTAAACCAAGTTAAGACAAGTCACACAATGTACAAAACCGCTACGTTCACCTGCAACATTAAACTTTACTTTAAAAACAATGAATAATTCCTCTTTGAAAGCGGCTTTGTTTGCAAATGAAATGATAATGATGGGCTAAGCATAAAACACTATGATGAATCACAACTAGACCCTTTTCTCTTTAGTGTTATGCTTGTTGTATACAATACACAAGTGTGTTATTCAAGCTTTTACACCATTTTCTATACCCCAGGACTCAGAACACACTAAACCAGGAATCTTATTTACCATACAGTGTTTTATAATTCCTCCCAAAAATTACAACAAAACAATAAGGTGCTACAAATTAAAACCTGAACATTATTGTACATGTGGTACCAGTAAAAAAACAAACAAGCTATATTGTATCCATTCATCCATTCTGATGTTTGCCTCCATTGCACAAGAATTGAAGGTCTCTCTGTTGGCGATTTTCTGCCACAGCTCTGAGTGCTGATTGTAAGAAATTCTGACAGGTGTTTTTTCATTTTAGAGGGTGACAAGTGCCACACTTCAATAAATAAGTACCTTAAAAATAATGATAAAAATGTGTAATACTTTGGTTAAACTGGAAATAAATACAGAATATTCTTAATAATGAGATAATTCATGATACGGGCCTTAGTTAAGTATAGTAAAATATAGCAATTTCATGATTTAATAAATTATTTAATGTTTCGTCTCCGAATTAGTTTGCTCTGTCAAACATCCATCAAAGTCAAAGAGAGCGCTTTCTGGGATCTAGTTTTTTGGGAGCTGCCAGAGATTTTAGCAGTATAACGGTTAGCCCCGCCCACTGACTAGCACTAAATCATGAATTCTTATTGACCTTTTAGAGGAAAAATGTAAATCCCTTTATTGTCCCACAGGGGGGGATTTCACTGTCTACGTGTGACCCATGCCCTTTGGGAGCAGTGGGCTGCCATTGTTGTGGTGCCCAGGGAGCAGTGCGAGGTAAAGGGTCTTGCTCAGGAACCCAGAGTGCAGGCCGGATCGAACCGGGTACTTGCAACATTCTCAGAGCATAAGTGCACTGTTCTAACCACTAGGCCAACACGTTTGAGAAATGTATTTAGACCTGTTCTAGCAAAAGCTTTGACTTTAGAGTAAAAGAAAAAGTGAAGAGAAGTTTTCTTATCTGGTTCAGTAAAAAGCCGCCAATCAGACATCAGGATTTCAATGGAAGTGGTCCTAACCCTGCTTCTTTATTTTGTCCTGTTTTGCCAATATGGCTCTGGGAATAGATGTCCCAAAGCTAGATTAAAGTCCAACAGATTTGCTTTCAGAAGAAGGCCATTATGACTGTTTCCATAAAGTTCCACTTTGTAATAATATATCAAACTTTATTGTAGAGCGACAGAAAGGGAGAAAGAAAGAAAGACGGGATAAGGACAAAGGGGAGAGAAAGAGAGATATAGGGGCAGGAAAAAGTGCATGAAAAGATAAAATAAAACGAAACATCAAAAATAGACAACACAAAAGATATAGTGTAACTCCTAGAAATCTGCTTCCACACTGAGACGAAAGGACGAGAAAACAAAAACAGCAAAAAGAAGACAGCAGACAACCAAAGTAAACATCAAAAAAAGCTTCAAGAGCAGCGGGTATCCTTAAGAAGAATATAGGGACAGCAGACATAGGGATGGCCACATCCATCAGAGAAGGGCAGATGAGAGCACCCAGGGCCTGACTACTGAGGGACCAAACTCCAAAGGGGCTCAGACCCTGAGGGGCCCTACTCCAGAAGCCATAGTGCTATGGTCCCATGGGGCTGCAGCAGCAAACCCAAGGGCTCCACTGGCGGTCACAAGGGGTCCGAGGCCTGAGGGCACATCACCCCCAGGGGGAGAACCCACAATGACAATAGGGTCAGGATTGAGACACCAGGAATGAGACAGAACCCAGCAAAGGACTTCTGAGTTTGACAGTTTTAAATAGTTAATGGTGTGCTTCAGTGCAGGAACATATGTTGGTTTATATATCATAAATTATTATACTTTATAAAAGAAATATGTTTACTTTTATATTTTACTAAGGCCCATACAATTAATTCTATATTGAATAAAAATATGTATTTATGTCCAGCTTTAGTAAATACATTTAAGACACATTTTAAGAATTATTAAAGAAATTATGTATTTATTGTACTGCAGCACTCATCACCAGTGTTGGGCAAGCTACTTGTCCAGTGTAGTGAGCTAAGCTATCAGTTACTCAACAATAAATTAAGCTTCACTACAGAAAAGCTAGCACCTAAAGAATTATAGCAAGCTAAGTTACACTAATGTGTTAAAAGTAGCTTAACTACATCAGAAGCTACTTAACGTTGTACCAACCTAATATCAGTTCAAAATGAGTCTGATACACTGGTTGAAATATTTATTAAAGATCAGCCAATGACATAACACAGTGTAAAAATTGCTTTATGATCAGCATAATAAAAAAAAACTAAAGTAATTACTAGTAGACAAAAAAATAAACAATCTGCTGTTATTAGAACCAAATTAAAGGTACTGTGTAGTTTTTTACACATCGAGACATGGCTATAAGTTTGCATTCAATGGACATCTCTAGGGAAAACAAAACCCTTGAAAAGGCATCTTATTTCTTTAGGGTCTCCCTTAGAGAAAACTTCTTCAGACCTCAATTAAACAGTCGATTCAAGTAACAAATGAAACTGTTTACAAAAAAGGTGAAAAAATAAAGAAGCTAATTAAGATATATATATACATTTATGTCTCACTGTATAATTTAATTTCTACCTACATATTTATTCATTGTATTTTGGGGGGTAATTAATTGAATGCTTATTTATTTATTGAGCATGTATTTATTTATGTATTTATTTTTATATATGGGAGAGCTGTTCCCCCATGCCTAAAAAATCTTATCTGCGCAAATAAGCCTTAAAACAGATTTATGTAAACATCCTACCTAGTAAATTAGGCCATGAAAATACAATATCAAAGTTTCAGTACTGCTCTCTAATTAGAGTATCTTAGTGGCACTCATCAGATTTAACTATCTGGAAATTAAAGCCGCCAAATAAAGTTAAAGCTGATATATTTTTCTCATTTTTATTTCAAAAAATATACTGTAGTTGACTGTTTTAATGAGTCTGTCTCCTCCTCCATCCTGTGTGCGTGGCTCTGTGTGTCTGCGTGTGTCTGTGTGTGTCATTCTTTGAGTTCCACTGCAGTGCGCATGCGCATGTTTCGGTAGATACAGACAGGAGAGGCAGAATAGAGGCTCATGCGTGAATGTCCAAGAATAACTCTGATTGTTGTTTCAAAAATAGAAAACCTGCTTTCATTACTTAGTTATGCCCTGGATTTTGTAGTGTTTGTGGACGCTACGTCGCTACTTGATAAAAATAATAACGTCACTACTGGAAAGTTACTTGATAAATAAAGCAGCGACGCTACGGTCAAGCTACTGGAAAATGTAGTTAAACTAATAGCTTCACTACATGTAGCGGCGCTACTGCCCATCACTGCTCATCACCCTCCCTATTCCATATAAGTTTAGTTTAAATTGCTATTAAAATTGACAGTGAGTTACTTGTGAAAACAAGCCAGTCTTGGTTATTGTGCTAATTGCCTAATAAATTTATGTAGTGTGTCAACAAAGGTTTGTTTTAGAGCTACATCTAGAAAGAGGAACAGGAATTGTGTCTGTAGTTCAGGAGAACTGGTTTAAGGATATGATGCATGATTTACATGTGAAGAAATTCTGAGATGCCATCTAAGAGAAAATTTAATAGAATTTTTTTAAGTTACCATTAGGTTTGTGTGTGCATGGTTATTTCACTAAAATTGTCTGGCTGCCTTTTTCAGGCATTACCCCTCCTCTGTTTTAATCACGTGGCACATAGGAACATCAGCGACTCCCTCAGTCACCCAGCTAAATCTACCAATTTATATGTTTTGTTTAAATGCCAACTGCTGAAAATAAAACTCAAACTTATATTTTATTGTACTTTCTATTTTTCAGCATCACAATGTTTGTCAATTCCTCTATACTCCCTGGGATAGCCAAGTCCTCCAAGGATGACCACACGAAGGTGGATGTTGAGGCCATCATGGAAAATATCAGCATTGTCCTCTTCACTCTGACTGTTGTGTTTGGGATCACAGGGAACTCTTTGGTGATCTGGGTGGCTGGATTCAAACTCAAGGTAGATGCACAGTTTATGATGTCTGCCATGTTATCTATTATAAGGCTAACAATATCAAACAAGTATAAAAGAAACTTCCAATTGGAAAATATGTGAAAAGGAATTTTGTGAAATTTACATTATGTAGACTGTAGGATGCCCGTGTCCAGACATATACCAGGTAAACCTGAATAAAAATGTGATGAATTCTAAAATATTTAACAAAGAAAGAATTGTTCAAATCTGTTAATAATTTGTGTTAGATTTTTTAATGGCACATGGTTCCCTGAATAAAATTTCTTCAGTGTTGTTCTTAAAAATGAAAAGCAAAAACCCCTTTATAGTCCCATGGTGGGGAGATTTTTTGTTCCTATGTGTTTAACCCATCCCTCAGGGGGGCCTTTATTTGGTGCAAGTTATAACCCACGAGAAATAAACTGATGTTGCTTTTACAGTATGTAGATTTTTCTAAGTAGAATTAGTATAAGGATCTGAAGTGAAAGATTATTACCCATCTATCCATCAAGGCTTCTAGCTCACAGTCCTTCCCTGGCATTTTTATCAGTCCAAGATTCCTGGAAAAACCCTCAACAAAAGTACACATGAAGAATAAATTAGCTCAATTATAAAGATTAATACACTGTTTCTTAACATATTGGCAAGTTCCCCAGTATTTCCTAGTTGAAACAGTGTGTGAAGCTAAAGCAAACTGATGGCTTTGTTGTATATTATATGGGACATATCCAGGGAAACATAAATTCTCCAGTTGCAATTATAAAATCCTATTAGCGTGATCAAAAAAATGCTTTAGTTGGATCTATATCCTAAGTACAGCAGTGTGGATGAAAGTACTGGATTAACTCCTATTGAAGAAATATAGTCAATTTAAAGGTTGGATTTTCTTAAGGACTGGTTCTTAAAATTGTAAAATGTGTGTGAAATGAATTATTAGACTGCTTTTTCTTGGCTAAATAAAATTAACATTGTTCCATTCTTTATGCTGAGATGTAGGGAGTTGAAGCAGGTGTGATAAGAAGCAGATTCCTCCCTAGTTTAGACAAGGGGGAAATATAGATAAACATGTCCTTACTGTGTTCAAGGCTCTTACATCCTTTTTCTGGTGTGAACAGAAAACAGTTTTCTGAAATGTTTATCTGACTAAATGTATGTCCATAATGAACTGAAGTGTTTCTCTCGGGAAGACTTGTTGTTCGTGTGTGTGAATTCTCTTTATGTGCAGGGGTGGGCAACTACCTCGCCAGAGCCACACTAACAGTTTAACTGTTTGTGTTGTTCTCCTGTGCAGAGTAAAATAAAACTTTTTCTTCCTTGCATATTGCCTCTTAATTCAAATTCAAAATTAATTCAAATTTAATGGTTTTAATATTTTGTTTTTTTTTACCCACATTTTCTCCCTCCTTTCTATTTTCTTCTGTTGATTTCTGTGTCGCTTCTCTTTTGTTTTTCTGTGAAGCCAAAGGTTACCAATGTGTGGCTGGTGAATCTGGCCATAGCCGACCTCGTCTTCAGCGTGACAAGAATGTTTTCCCTGATAAAGAAGCTCTTCTACAACTACTGGCCCTTTGGAGTGTTTGTCTGCAAATTCAACGGCTTCTTTAAATACGCCAACATGTTCTGCTCTGTCTTCCTGCTGGCTATCATCAGTCTGGACAGAATGCTTTGCATCTGGAAGCCTGTCTTTACAAAGCGACGGCGCACCCTGTGTGCTGCCAGGGTGGTGGCACTTTGTGTCTGGATCTCAGCGGTCCTCTTCAGTAGTCCCTACTTCATCTACCGCCAAGTATACATGAAGAACAACGCGAGCAAATGTTCCATGGAGGTGAAAGAGGGGCAGGAGGGGACCAGCTCCATCAAATATTTTCTGTATTTAAATCGGTTCCTGTGTGGCTTCATTTTCCCCTTCATGGTCATTCTTATCTGTTACATCATGGCTGGCATTGGCATCCGACGCACACGCCTTTCAGGGAAGTCACGGCCCCTGCGTATATTGGCATCCCTGGTCATAGCCTTCTTCCTGTGCTGGGGTCCCTACCATTGTCTGTTAATTGTGAAGATGGTGGACAAAAAAAATGCAGTGTTGAAAGTCTGGCAGCCTTTGGCGAATGGTTTTGCATATTTTAACAGCTGCGTGAACCCGCTGTTGTACTTCTTTATGGGGCTGAATGTGAGAGGCCAGTTCAGACAGAGTCTGATGGGAATTTACAAGAAAGCTTTGGCTGATGATGTTGAAGGACAGACGACTCAGTCGAACGAGCGATCTCTGGACGAAAGCAGTTCATCAAAATACAATGCTGCTGTGGTGGCAGAAAGAACTGAAGTGCTTTAGTTGCCAAGCTTTCGCTTCTACACGAGCCATGCCATTTAGAGTGATACTGAACCAATGAACTGAATTAAAATAAGTCAATATGTTAAATTGTCTTTGTGAATCTATGAGAAGAGCGACAGATTTATTCCTGGAATATGTATGACCATGAGTGCATTACCATTTTGTATTGTTAAATTTTACAAATCATTTTAAAAAGCATATTTTTTTGTAAGCCAAATCCAAAATGTACTCTTTAATTCGAATTAATTAGTATATAACATCAAGAAAACGAAAGATATTCTTTGTCAAAACTGGTACATAAAATATACTGACAAGACAAAGATTTTGCAAGGATTGTTTTTGAACTTGGATGCAAAATTTCCTCTCAAAGGTCTGTGAGTTATCTTGGTTCTTGTGATCTAAGTCACAGAGGAAAAGTGGAACTGTTAAGTCTGGAGGAATAGGAATAAAAAAGACTTAGGGAAGTAAAACTATTACAGGAAAGCCAGCAATAGTCATGATTCTGTCTGTTTTTAAAGAGGTCAAAGCCAGCAGATGAACTGAAACTGTACTGAATGTCTGTTGCCTCTCAACAGAACGCACACTTTTAAAGGGCATGTTTTCAGTTTAACTCCATACATTAAAGTGTTTCAGTTATTATTTACCTCATTATAACTTTAGTTTAGAAATACAAGGGATGGAAGATTCTCATAAACAACCAAATGGAAGCAAGAATCTTATGATCCACCCCAAACAGCAAGTTTATCGAGCAGAATTTAATGCGCAGAGTTCTGACGCATCACTTGGAGATGAAGCTGAATGTTTGTCTTAATTTTTCAAGTTGCATGACACCAGTTTTATATTTTTCTGCTCTGCTTTTCAATGCTCTGCTTTTTAATGCTTTAACTTATCCAATTGTCAAAATCATTTAATGGTTTAAACTAAAAATAAAAAAAATTTTTTGGTCCTCCATGCACATTTTTCTTGAAAATGGGACTGTATTTTAAAGGCCTTCTTTTACTCTTTTTATTCAACTAACACCATATATTTTTATTAAACACCAGTTAATGTTTCGGTTACAGTTCTTGAAACAGTGAATGTTTATATAGATGGTCTAATATGTCAGTGTTTTATTGCTGCAATAAAATCCATTGCAGTGGTGTTAACAGGTACAACCTTAGTATACAGTAGAATCGTCAAAGACATGAAAACAATATTCTTGTATTTTTATAACTGACTAGGGTCATATCACTGGTCATGGGAACAATGTAAAGAAATCTGGTCAAACCCATAAGAAAATATAATTACTGTATGCCATTAAAACAGTTAATTAACCTGTTTTTTAGTGTCTGTGAATGTTTGAATGTAGCTTAAGATTAAGGTGTTTGGAAGGGATATTTCTAGTCTTCTAGTCTAGGCTTCTCAGCAAAGATGGAGGTGGCATAACTATTAGAGCTATGCAACAAGATGGTGAGCGATTAAGCCTATCATACACTGTGACATATTTTCAATCGTTGTGCTCAGCTACAGCCAAAACAGTACGACAACACCGCAGGGTTTAAAAGTTCACAGCTATGTTCTTACACTGTACAGCCCGACACTGATGCAATCTAACTACTCATTCTCTACGTCTAAAAACCACATGTTTGACTCAGCGCCAAGAGATACTGTTAGTTGGACTCTTCAATCTAGAGGAGAGAAAAAAATAATTCCCTTGTTTGGACCTGCGATGTGTGCAAGGTTTAGGTTAATCGGCTCGTAGACACATGTAGCCCTACTTCAACAGGAGGATTTGCTCAAAAACCCATCACTGAATTTCAAATATGTTGAATTTATCCTGACCTTATGATTCCTGATCGGGAGGTGGTTGTGAGTGGCTAATCGCCCTTCGTTACCCCCAGTAAACCACACAATGCAGGACGCATGATGAGGCCGAAACTCAGCCTGAAAAGTGCTAAAAATTGTACAGTGTACGCCCGCCTTTAGATAAATTGTATCAATGCTAGAATACCCATAAATATATTTGAATTCAAGCTGTAAATCCTACATGTTTTTATGATCTTTTGATAGGTTCAAGCCTGCCACTATTTTGCCTAAATAACAATGCTGATAATGATTTTGTCCTTAAAGTATACATCTGATTCAATTATTATATTATAATTAAATTTACAGGTATTACCTCATCTGCTGAAGGTTTTTATTATTAAAAAAAAAAGGTGCAAAGACACAATGTGTCTACAGAATGAGAAAAAGAGCAGACAGAATTGACTTATGCTTTCATGAATATCCACAAAAACAAATAGTGATAATGAATGTTTGCAAAATACATGGGGATACGTGAAATGTAATGATTTACCAGCTGCAAGGCGATTTATCAAACCAGTTTCAGTTTCTGCTTATATATTTTTCCTCTTGGGCAGCATTCCTCAAAAATATCTGTGCTCACTAAGGAGGCAGAAGTGCATGAAAGGTGATGGAAAGAATTCCCATCTGGAGTTAATTTTAGAGCTTTAGCTGAGGAACAAAAAGATGATCCACATGAAAAGTTTGTAGATGTGGTAAATTTGAAACTAGAATTATAATAATAAGCTATTTTCCCTTTGTCACAGATGAGAAGTGGGACTTAAACTGGCCCCAAAACTCACATTTATGCAGCAATTTACTGCGTACTAAAGCAGAAGAACATCTAAAACCAGATAGGAACTATATTTCATTGACATCATTTTAACATTGACTGGAGCAATAAATGAGAAGAGATAATCTACATAATTGGTTTATTATTTTCTTAAATTCTTTGTTTTTCAATTATTATTCAAAGACTTAAATAAAAATTCAATTATATTTATTTATTTAGAAAGAAAACTTTTAGCCGATTGTTAAAATAAACTGTATAATTTTGTCACAAGACCTAAAAAGAAATGCACTATTATGATCATGATCTGTCTATAGAGGGATGGAACTAACTATAAATTCTGCATATAAACTGCTTTTTGTCAGCTTTGTTTTTAATAAAGCTTTTTTTTTTGTAAAAGCTTAAATATTTTTAGTTAAAATATATTTAGTAGAAATTTGTTTAATGGCTCAATACATCTAATGACTCAGTACAGTGTTTAAACAACAATATAGAAGTAGTTACAGAGCAGTCTACATTCATTTGAGACCATTTTAAAAACCAAAAGTATAATGTTGTATTTTTTGGGGTAGTGTAATATTATCACTCCAAAAATCCAGCTACAATCTGAGTATATTTTGTTCTTGCTATATAAAGAGGATTTGATTTCTTCCAAATAAATATGAAATAAATTTAACAGGCAAACACTGCACCTTGCTGGTAATGTAGTAGATTGCATAACAGCACAGTGCCCTATGGAGAGTCATTTCAGCCAAAATTAAATAAATAAATAAATGGGTGAAATAAAGAAAAAATGAGTAAAATAAATCAAAAAATGAAGAAAATGAGTCACTCATTTTCTTCATTTTTTGATTTATTTTACTCATTTTTTCTTTATTTCACCCATTTATTTATTTAATTTGGCTGAAATGGCTCTCCATAAGTGCACAGCACATACAATTCAAGATTGCAAATATTGAAGAAGTAGAACTTTTTTTCTTGCTTTGTGTACATGAAGGATTAGATCCTTTTAAATGAGGAAGAATTGCCTGCTCTGAAAGACACAGTTATAAAAGTATATATTTATATGTACTTTACTGTCTCATCATGATAGGTTCTGATTATTTAATTTTCCAACAGGTTTTCTCTTATATTTCAACGAAGAACAAAAGACAAATGTGTGACAATTGCCAACCATTATCTATATGTTTCCAGATGAGGATTCAGACAAACCCCTGCTTGGTGAAGAAGTACTTTTGGATCACATGAACTTGCCTGAATTACATGTTCATTACAAGATTTCTGTAGAACTTGGTGATATACAGCAAATACTACTGTGGCCGGGAGGTGCAAACCAACATTACAACATCTAAAAAACGTTACAAGTTCCAGAACAAATGAGCGTTTTAGAAAACCAATTTACATCAGTTTAGATGTGGTGGTTTAGTAATACATTTATAACGTGCATGTTATTGAAAACTGACCTTCCTTACAGCCGTTTGTGTCCTAGGCTTATTTTTTTTGTTCCAGTGTTCGATAATTTTTAATCATTCACCTCAGAGCTATTCGCAAGATGGAAGAAAGATTTCTTTTATTTTGTCTCATCTGTCTGGTAAAGCCTTGGAGTGGGCGGAAGCTAAATTCTATTCCAAGATAGAGTATGGTTGTACTTATGATGAATTCATTAAGGAATTTAAGCAAGCTTTCAACCAAGACACAGATAAGATCACTGAATCCCATGGGTTGCTAGAAATAAAGCAAGGGAACAGAACAGTGGCTGAGTTTTCAATTGACTTCCGGATTAAAGCGCCCGCTTCCGGTTGGGGAGAAACGGTGCTTAAGAGAGCTTATTTTCACTCCCTAGATGAGTCAATTAAAGACGAGTTGGCAACTCTAGATGAACCAAATACTTTGGAAGATTTGATAAGACTGACTATCCGCTTAGATAACAGGCTGCGAGCCAGATCCGTAGCCAGATCCAAGAGCCGTATTTTTCCAGTCACAACTCTTCCTGAAAGGTCTATTGAAAGAGCTAATGAAGTCTCCTCTTCCACAGTGCCCTCAGAAGCCGAGCCCATGCAGATCGGTCACACCAGACTCTCTTCAGAAGAAAGACAAAGGAGGTTCAAACAAAACCTCTGCCTGTACTGTGGAGAACCTGGACATTTTGTTTCAACCTAAGGTAAAAGTCGGGGTCCGCCAGAGGAAATGAGGAGTCTGGCGGACCATCTTCAAACTGAAAAATCTCCTCGACTTCTGTTACCCGCTACTCTGTTTTTAAAAGATCAGTCCCTCACTTTGTCGGCTATGATTGATTCAGGCTGTGAAAGAAATCTAATCGACTCAAGTTTGGTCAAACAGTTAAATCTTGAGACCACTCCTTTGACTAAACCCCTGAGAGCATCCGCCTTAGATGGAAAACAACTACCTCAAATTACGCATCAAACCAAACCTTTAGAACTACTAATCTTCGGAAACCATAGAGAAATAATTTCTTTTTATGTTTTTCCATCTGTAAGCTCATCTATTGTTCTGGGTTTTGATTGGCTGCAACTCCACAACCCACATATCAACTGGTCTAAGAGAGATGTGGAGTCCTGGTCTATTCCCTGTCATTGTTCCTGCCTCCGTTCCGCCGTTCCTCCTTCTCAGTCGCCGGCAAACCGTCAGGCGGTTGACCCTTCTGATCTCTCTAC